GCTACAAAATGAATGTGAGGGGAGCCTCAGCCTGAAGTTCACTCTGATACCACGTTTGGCCCCTCGTCCACAGGGGAGAGAGACTGGGAATTCAGGACAGGAGACAGCAGAGTCTCCCCCAGGACCAAGCAGCTTCCTCCAGGACCTGGATGCTCATTCCCTGAAGCCTCGGGGCAATCCTGCAAGTTGCAACTCATTATCCCTAATTCGAAGGTGGGGAAACTGAGGCCCACAAGGGTAAATGACTCCTATCACCCAGCTTCCTGCCCCTGAAGCCCCAGCCTTGGAGTTGGAGACCTCCAGCTGGGGTGCGGAAGGGGGACTCCTCGCAGTCTCCAGCTGGGTTGGAGGATCCCAGGCCGGAGACCCCACCCCCTCCCCACCCTCCAGACTCCAATTGGTGGGATGACCGGGCCTCCCTGCCAGGTTATGTTGGAAATTTGCATTTTCATGGAGACGTAATTAGAATTAAAGGGCTGAGGCTGGAAGGGACCGGACGGAACCCTTCCTGTACCCACTCTGCCCTTTTGGGAGCTGGAACCTCCGCCTCCGGGCCCACTGAGGCCCCAGAACCAGCCCTCTCTCCACGCCCCCCAAACACTGCCAGCCCTGCCAGTGGTACAGTCTGTCCCCACTGCCCGGATGGGGATACTGAGGCCCAGAGAGCAGAGAAGGGACTTACTTAAGGTCTCACAGTGAGGTCAACCCCCCACATCTGGGCTCCATGTCACTTTTCCCTGCTAGGCTGATCTGCAGCCAGTTGGCTGGAGGGAGCTGTTTGCTCCCTGAGGGCCCCACACCCTCCAAGCTCAGCCTTCTCTCCTTGTTCTTCTCAGTAGCCCTGGGGGACCCACCCCAGTTTATCCCAGCCCCAGAAGGGAAGGCACGCATCCAGGTCACACAGCAACTTGGTAGCAAAGCCGTGTCTTTGGCTGCTGAAAGAGCGGGGCATGGAGGCACAGGTTTGTAGTCCCAGCACTCAGGAGGCTGAGGCAGGAGGATCACCATGAGTTCAAGGCCAGCCTGAACTACATGGGAGATCCTATCTCAAAAACAAAAAAAGATTGGACTGGAGGATGTCGCTCAGTGGTAGAGTGTTGCCTAGCATGTGTGATATCCTGGATTCGATTCTTTTTTTTTTTTTTTTTTGAGACAAGATCTCGCTATGTATTCCAGGCGGGCCTCAAACTCACTATGTATTTCAAGCTGGCCTTGAACTCACTATGTAGCCCAGGCTGGCCTTGAACTTGGAGCAATCCTCCTACCTCAACCTCTCAAGTGCTAGAATTATAGGCGTCCACCACCATGCCTGGCCAATGTTCAACTCTGAAACCGCAAAAAAAAACACAAAAAAACAAAAAACACCCTACTTTTGACCCTTACCTAAGTCACTGACCCAAAAAGAACTTCCAGCAGCTTCTTGCTGACTCTTACATTCATTTGTGTGGCATTTTTGGAGACTGAACCCAGGGCCTTTGCTCTGAGCTACATCCCAGCACTTTTCATTTTTTATTTCTGAGACAGGGTCTCACTTCATTGCCCAGCCTGAACTCCAACTTGTGATCCTCCTGCCTCAGCCTCCCAGAGCGCTGGGATTATATCACATCCAGCTGAGATGATTACTGTATTACATTTAATTCCCAAATAAGGAAACTAAAGCACAGAGAGGTGATGTGATTTCCCCAGGACACATAGCTAGTGAGTGGAAAAACTAGGACTTCAACTTGCCTGTCAGAATCCAGAACCCAGCTCCTTCCAGAGGGCAGAGCCCAGGAGCTCCGGGCCCCACTGCCCAGCCCAGAAGGACCACTGGACACTTCCCAAAGCCCAGTTCTTAGTGGGAATAGCAGGCCACAAGAGGAAAGGCAGCTCCTGTGTGAGCCCCAGACCTTGAGACACTGCCCCAGCCCTGCCCCCTCCTCAGGTGGCCCAAGCCACCCTTCTGTCCCCTCCCCTACCGAAGGGGGTATGAATCTGGGAAACAGACAGAGTGACCGCATGGTGACCCCATAAGAAAGACAGCCCCAGACCAAGGGTCCCCTCTGCAGAATGAGCTCCTGTCGGACTAGTGTGAGCTGCCGGCCAGCACAGGTCGGATGCTGGAGAGAGGAGGGCGGAGGTGGCTGGCACAGGACCTGCTATCAGGGCCGCCAGAAAGGCAATTGGAAATTCCATTCGGTTCTCAATTTGAGGGTGGCCAGAGGCCGGGAGTGTGGGGAGAAGCCGAGGAGAGACATGGAGAGGCGGAGCCCTCCAGACCCGGGAGTCTGAGACAGGACAGGCCATCTGGACTCCAAGCACCCCAACACCCCACTCAACATCACCCTGCACACCCGCAAGGACCCACGACCTCAGGCGCTTACACATGTACACACACCCACATGCTCACACTCGGGCACACACTTCTCACACTCACATGTTCATGCACACACGTGCTCACACACAATCACACGCATGAAGAGCCACGTGGCCTTGCAGAAAACCCACCCTCAGGGGCAGGTTCCAGGGACTCCAGGAAGGAGCCAGGGTGGGGACACGGGGTGGCTGCTCACCATGACATTTCTCCCTATGGCCAGGGGGCTCGGTCAAGCGAGTTCCCTGGGGCACCGGGGCTGGAGCCAGAGGCAGGCAGGCTCCCAGCGGGGAGCAGCAGGCCACACAGCCCCCTAGGAACCAGCGTGGGAGCCTCAGCAGCCCCAGACCAGCCTGCCAGGCAGCAGGCATCTGAGCCGGCTGTGGCGCGGCCCATTTAGGCCCACAGTGCGGCCGGCCGGTTCTCTTGAGGATGGGCGGTTTGGTAACAGGGCAGTGGCTGGTTCTGTAATGTCTCGTCCCTGAGCAGCCTAAGGGCCCTGTTCTGGGTTCTTTGTGGTGTTAATGTGGGGGCCTTGCATGCCTTCCCCACAGAGAGGCTACTTCTCAGCCCACTTAGCAGATGCAGATGCTGAGGGGTGCTCTATTGAGTGCCTGGGTCACATCCCCTGCGGCTGTTCCCGGGCCGGGCACCCCAGGCTAGTGGCTCTGCCTCAACTTCCCCACTCAGGCCAGACCTGGAGGGGCATCTGACCCCAAGCGTGGAAGGGCCAGGACAGGATCTCAGGGAGCCTAGCCACACGGTGCTGGCTGCAAAGAGCCAGCTGAGGCTGAGGGGCGTGCAGACCCCACACTGCTCCCCAGATACACCAGCCACAGCATGGCCCAGGAGGCAGCAAGAACGCTGTCCTGTGGCGCCACCTAGTGGTCAGTGCCTGACGTGACGCCCATTCAGTTTGGTTCTTTGCCCGACCCAGGGACACATTGGCCACATCGCAAGACATCTCTACTGGGCTGAGCACTGGTGTCCCAAATGCATCCTTTCTCAATCCTACCCGTGCCTTTATGAGGCTCTGACTGTACGCCAAGCACTGTCCCCGGCACTAGGGATCCAGTAATGAACAAAATAGAGACCCCTGGGGCCGGGGATTTAGCTCAGTGGTACTGTGCCTGCCTTGCAAGTGCGAGGTCATGAGTTCGATCAAAGGTAGAAAAAAAAGAGAGAGACTCCTGCAGTCCTGCAGCTGACGTGGGGGGGGGGGGGGAATAGACAACGAACCACAAGCATAACAAAGGAAAGAGCGTGGGGGTTCCAGGGCCCCCATAGCCCATGGGACAAAGTATAGAGTCCGGCCCTGGAGACCACTGTCCCCACACCATCCCTTCATGTCCCACGGGACTACTCCATGAAAAGTTCGCAGAGGACAGACCCTCCTGCCTGGACGCCTCTCTCCCTGGACGTGGTCAGCTCCTCCGCATCCTCCTGACCCCACAGCAGCACAGGGCAAATGCAGTCGGGCTCCGTTCCCCAGCCCTGCGGCGCCACCTGTGTGACCTTGTCGGGTTCCTGGCCCCCCTGTGCCTGCTTCCATCTGTGAAGTGAGGGGAAACAGTTCCTACTTCATAGGCTGGGAGAGGGTGAATGAACCCAGACAGGACAACTATCGATACAGCTGGTCATTATCAACGCCTCCCTCCTGCAAGGCGGAGGGACAATGCGGTCCGTGCTGGGAGAGCCCGTGCAAGGCGCTGGCTCCGTTAATTCAGTGGTCTCTCGCTCACCTACCTGCATAGCCTGGCACTGCCAGTCCCCTGGCTGCCAGGTGCAGGGCGAGGAGATGGCACAGAACAAGCCAGGGCTCCTCCCCGCTTAGAAAAGGGTCATTGTAGGCCAGAGGTTTGCAAACTGTTGTCTAAGAAGTCCTTTACTTTTTTATTTTTTGGTCCTGGGGATAGAACCCAAGGCCTTTGACCTGAGCTACATCCCCAGCCCTTTTTTAACGTTTTGAGACAGGGCCTGGCTAAGTTGCTAGGGCTGGGCTTGAATTTGGGATTCTCTTGCCTCAGCCTCCCAGAGTCCAGGGGTTACAGACGTGAGCCACCACGTCTGGCTCTTTACACTCTTTAAAATTCAGGATCTCAAAGAATTTTTGTACATTGGTAATATATATTCATATTTACCATACTGGAAACTAAAACTGAGATCCTTTAATATTTATTAATCACTTAAAATAAGTCATTGCTTGGTAACACATTTTATGAAAAAAGTTGTATTTCTCAAAACAAAAATACATTCTATTTCATTTTTGTAAATGTCTTTAATGTCTGGCTTCATAGGAGAGAGCTGGATTCACAGGCTGCTCTCGATCTACGCAATACAATACTCTGAAGTACATTTAAAAAAAAAAAAAAAAGGTAGCCCCTGTTTTCTCTTTCATAAAATGTGAGGCTAACAACCCGGCCACGCCCACTGCCGACCAACCAGCCAGGATTAGCTGCAGACCGCTTCCAGTAGAAGGGGTGGTTGGATTAGGATTGGACAATAAATGTGTCCTTCTGTGCCTTGAACCCGCCCTCAATTCATGCCCCTCCTCCTACGCATGCGTTCTAAGGACGGAGGCCCTCGTCCCCGCCCACTCCGGAACCGTGTGTTGCAGGTCGGGTTTTCGCCGAGACTAGGAGCACAACGAAGGCGGAAGTAGCGTAAAATGCGTGGGCGGGGCCAAGCGCAGTCATGTCGGCGGCCTTGCTGCGGCGGGGTCTGGAGCTTCTGGCGGCGTCAGAGGGTGAGAGGGGCTTGCTGGGAGACGTCTGGCGCGGACGAAAAGACGGCGGACGCTTCGGAAGGAGCACGGGGGTGGGGAATGATCCAGGCCGGACTTAGCCCCCGCGGGTTGGGACCCCTGTGCGCCCTCCGACCCGTGTCCGTTCCTCTGTCTTCCCCTGCAGCCGCCCAGGCCGCGCCAAGCCAGGCCAAGACGAGCGGGGCTCCGGTGAAGCGAGCCCGGAAGGCGAAGGCGGCCCAGGCCCAGAAACTGCAGAACTCGGCTAAAGGAAAGGTGCCCAAGTCGGCGCTGGGTGAGTGCGGGAAGGAGCTGGAAGTGCGGCAGCTGGGTTTGGGGGTGGCGCCCGGACACCATGGACGTGATCGAAACGAGGCCGGGGCCCTCAGGGACTGCGTACAGCCCAAGTGCGGGGGGAAGCATCGTACAGGCTCAAAACCGGAGTGTAACTGCTAAGTGTGTTCATGCCTATGACGTAAAAAAAAAGAAATTAGGGCGCTCGGAGAGGGATCAGAGTAGAAGGCCAATCAGCCTCCTCTGAGGAAGCAACATTTAGGCTGAGAGTCTGAGGAAGTGTAAGAGTGTTCTGGGAGAATAGCAAGTGCAGAGGTAGGGAGTCAGAAAGAAGCTTATTGCCTTTGAGAATGTGAAAGAGCAGGCTGGTAAAGGTGACAGGAAGTGAACAGGGTCAAGATGGAGCATTTAACAGTTTAACATTCTGTGTGCCGAGCGCTGTTCTGAGCCCTCTACAAATGTCAACCTTGCGAGTCTGCATGCTGTCACCCCCGTTGTACAGAAGGAGGCACTTGCTAAAGTGGTGCAAGTGGAAACCAGGCAGTGTCTCGAGAGTGCTGCTCTTACCTGCTGTGATCAAAGTGATAGATGCAGAGATGAGAAGATGGTGCAGGTGGAAGATAGGCAGAGGAGGGAGCATTGATGGGCTTCAGTGGCGAATTGGCTGTGAAGAGGGAGCCCAGTTTCTAGTAGAGCTTTTTTTTTTTTTTTCAAGTTTTTTGAGACAGGGTCTTGCTGTGTAGTCCAGGCTGCCCTTGAACCTATGTAACCAAAGCTGGCCTCAAATTCATGGCAATGCTCTCTCACCCTCCCGAGTGCTGGGATTAAAGGTGTGCACCACCATGCCTGGCTCTAGTAGAGTGGTTTCTTGGGGAATGTGGTACCATTAAGGAGACATAAGGACTTGGGATGGGAACGGCATGGTGGCACACGCCTGTGATCCCAGGCAGGAGCATCTCAAGTTTGAGAACAGCCTGGGCTACATAGCAAATTGAAGGCCAGCCTGGACTATATAGTAAGACTAGTCTCCAAAAAAAAAGACTAAGAAAGGAGCATATATGGGCAGGATGTAAGTGCCTAGGTATTTTGAATCTACAAGGCTGCTGCATAGAAGCTGTTCAGCTATTGGTTAAAAGGGTTATGAATTCCAGGAGCAGCCGCAGCATGACCAAAAGTGTGGAGAGAGGTTTGAGCCCCAGTGACTCGTACTATGAAGCTGGAGCTTCTAGAGGTCCCTCCCATCTCTGCCTGCCCTTGGCTCACCGCGCTGTCACAGGGGTTCCCTTTGCTGCCTCCCCCGCTGGACTGAGCTCTGGGAGGCACAGACCTTCCTTTGGTTTGTCTGTAGTGCTAGTGCCTGGCCCAGAGTTTGGCACATAATCCGTGAGTGAAAGGAATGATGAGCGCCTCCGTAGCCAGTCTGCAGAATACCTCTGGCTGTCACCTGGGTCTAAGCTACCTCGTCTCCAGCCTGGAGTTTTGCAAAAGCCTCTAGCTGGTCTCCTGGCTTCCACACACCCTTCCCAAGTAATCTAATTCTCAACAGCCACCAAAGTGATCTTGTATCACGAGTCACACCTTGATTCTCCTTTGACTACACACTCCTGTTGTTCCCATTGTCCTCAGGAAAAGCCTGAGTTCCTTCTCCAGCCAATTTTGCTCTTCAGCACATCAGTCACATTTCTGCATCTGGTCTTTGTAGACTGTTCCCTCTACCCAGACAGCTGTCCTTCGGTACTGCTCAAATGTCATTTCAGTGAGACCTTGGATCTTCCTGTTTAAAATTCCAACCCTCTACCATTGGCATACTTGTTCCTATTCTGTTTTCCTCCATAAAATGGCTCACTTCTAAAATGTTATTTACCTTCTTTCCCCTCTCTTTCCACACTGGCACGTAAGCTCCATGAAAGCAGGAGTTTTTGCCTCCCTGATTTCCTGCTATAGGCCCAGCACCCAGGATGAGTGTGACAGTTAGTTTGTACGCAGGATGAATTTGTTGAATGAGTCACATGATCACCTGGGAACCATGGGCGCTTTCCCCAGGACCTGTGTGGAAGTGAATTTGACCAAGAGGAGCCCATACTTGAACAGTCCAGAGAAGGGATGATGGGCATCTGGTAGGGCCAGGGGCCGGGGACGCAGAAGGCTTCCAGGGAATGAATCTGAAATGCCACAAACCCTGTCACCCACAGCGGAGTACCGGAAGCGAGAGTGTCGAGACCACCTCAAAGCAAACCTGAAGTTTATGACTGCCACAAAGAGCACCCTCGCAGAGTCGGTGACCCAGAAGGTCTGTCGGGTGTGGGCTACAGGAAGGGCCTGGGGGTGTCAGCCCTGAATGTAGGGTGGAAGTCAGGTCAACCCTTGAGGGCTAGCATGGGGGCTGTGGGATGCTGGTCCAGTCCTGCCCTGGGCCACACATCCCAGTGACCTTTGTGTGCCCTGATCTGCTCCTCTGTACATGGAAATGATGTGCCCTCACTTCTTCCCAGATTCTGCGGCAGAACCGGGGCCGCAAGGCCTGTGACCGGCCTATGGCAAAGACGAAGAAGAAGAAGAAGAAGAAGGCCGAGGGCACCGTGTTCACAGAGGAAGACTTCCAGAAGTTCCAGCAGGAATACTTTGGCAGCTAGGCTCCCTGGAGGCCCCATAGGAGGTTGGCCCAGCCTCCTGGACTTCACCGCTCTTGTGCCCGGCCAGCCCATGCAGGGCACGGCCAGCAGATGACAACACAGGGCCAGCTGAAGGAAGCCTCAGCACTGGAGTTCTGGGAGTCTGGAATGGAGCTGGGAGCCACAGGGCAGATTTACACTCAGACTGGGGCTGGCATCTTCTGCTTGCTTAGGAAGAGCCATCTGCCCTGCCAGAACGGGACACTTCTGACTGTTCTGTGTGCTTTGCCCCAGTGTGGTATCTGGGCTGTTTGCTGTGTCCAAGGCCAGGTCCTGGGTCCTCAGGGGAAGGCTGCTGCATAGACTTCTGGGTTCTAATAAACGTGGGAGCTGTGTGCACTGCTGATCTGACTTGTGGGACATCCCCATCTCCTCTGACACCAAAGGGAGAAGTCCCCAGCCCAGGCAGCCATGTGGGGAGCTGTAGTCTGGGGGTGCCATCCCCAGGTTTGGCTCTACAGCCCACAAGGTGGCCCTTGAGGCAAAAACAGCACTTGCAGTTGCGGGGGTTTGTTCCATGAAGCAGACTGAGGGGCCTCACCCTCCCTGGGAGCCTGTGGGTCCTGTGGGCACAGGAGAGCCGCACCAGGGACACACACACACGTTTGTGCTTAGTGAGAAGCCAGCTGTGCCCTTTCTCAGTCACGTGGGCTGGGTCATTGGTTGGGGGTCTCAGGAAAAATCTTGAAGTAGCAAGGTTCACACTCAGGTCTGTGCCTGAGCACAGGTGGCTGTAACCACCACAGGAGGCCAGAGATGGGAGTTGAGGTGGGGACAGCAGGAAGGTGAGTGCTGTCCCCATAGTGACTGGCCTCACGTGAGCTCTTCAGCTGGGGAGGCGCGTCCTATCATTACACTCCTTCCTGCTGCTGGCTTCGTGACCGAAGTCAGCAAACCTGGCTGACCTTGGACAGTCTTCCGCCATCCTAAGCAGTTTAGTAACAACCTGGCTCAACAGTTGCTCCTGGAATTTTCATCACAGAAGAAAAGACTGACGAGGCTCCAGCAGCCCTTTGTAATAAGGACACCTGTCGTCACAGTCACCCTCCTGGGGAAGGATGGCAGTGGGGTCCTGCTCCTCTGCTTTCGAGTTTCCAGTCAGTCTGACGGTTATACCAGTATCGCTGGTGGGTGCATCCTTGCCCCACTGCATTCTTGCCCCACTGCATTCACCCAGAGCTCCAATAGGCAGAGGTTGGCCTCCGGTCTGTGCTGTGAGTCACCCTGGACAGTTCTGCTGAAGGTGGCTAGAGGCAACAGAGAGCCCAGGAGGCCCATGAGCCCCAGAACAAAGGGCACGTCACCCAGGGAAGGGTGCTGACCGTAACCTACTGATCAACAGCCCAAATGACACTAGTGTCACATTCAAGCAGGGGCGGCCTTCCCCAGCTAAGGCACCGTGGGTAGATGTGAGGGCCAGGAGCAGCTGTGTCTCAGGTGCTTTACTGGCAGGTTTGAGCCCAGGTGAGGAAGAGTTTGGGAACCTCCGCAGTGACAGAGGACACAGGCTGCCATGGGATAGGCTGCTCATCTCATTCTCACAGTCTGGACCTCTGTGACTGCAGGGATGGCAGAAGTCTCAAACTTCCTCCACCCACAGCAACCCCTGCAGTCTGCGCTGGAGTAGGACAGCACTGCTATGGGAGATCTCATAGGGTGGAGCCACAGGCTCCACCACCAGTCCAGCCCACCCCAGAGCATGTCTGGCCAAGGAACTTAGCTCAAGCTCCCGCAGAAGCTGGCCAGGTCACCATCAGGTAGCTTCATCCCCCAGAGTAAAGCCTCTGGGACAGGCAGATAGGACTATGGCACTTGGGGATGCCTCCCATTCGTTCTGCTCCGTTTTCTTGGGCTGCTCTTCCTCTACAGCTCTCCCCATCCTCCAAATCCAGGGCAGGCCTGTGCCCTCTACAGCCGATGCTGCTGCTGCTCACTTGATCAAGTATCCACCTGCTGTCCACCCAGGCCATGAGCCCTGCCGCCCCCGAGGCCTGGGTGGGGAGCGTGGCACTTAGGTCCCTGCAGCTCCAGCTAGACTCTTCTGTCCACTGCCTCCTCACCCTCTCTGGATGCCCAAGAGGAGTCTCAAACTTTCCCTGCCCACAGAAAAATAAAAACCTTGCTCCTAGCTGGGCATGGTGGCATATGGCTTTAACCCCAGCACTCTAGGAGGCAGGGCCAGGAGAATCAAGTTCAAGCCCACCCTAGGCTACATGGCAACTTAAGTGAGACAGTCTTTAAAAAAGTGCTGGGGCTTAGTGTGAAGGCCTTGGGTTTGATCCCCAGTACTGTCCCCCAAGCCTACTCCTCCCCTGGTTTCCCACATCTCCAGGAATGGGGCTGCCACCCTGCCCTTACTGGGCTGTCCGCCTCATCCCAACACCCCAGCTGGCTTTCCTCACCCAGCACAGGCCCTGCTAGGCTCACTCCCACCTCCAGAGCGAATCCCCCTACCCTACCATGCCCTCTCCACTGTCTGTCACCTGTCTCCTTTAGAACACTGCAGGATGGGGATCCCCAACACCGTATCTCACACACAGTGGGCACTCAATGGTGGGGAAAACTGCGGCATCCTCTGCTGTCCAGTGTCTCCCCAAAGACAACAGGTGAGGAATGCTCAGAGAGCTGACAGCCCCAGCCTCAGCAGGCCCAAGAGGGTTGGGGTGGAGCCAGAACACTTGGGCCACCCTGAGTACCCAGCAGGAGCTAGGGGATTAGAAGCCCCTCTGACCCAGGCTGGCAGGAGCGTCATCACACAGTGGCAGGACCTCACTGGGCGCTCTGTAACCTCCCCAAGCCATTACCTGTGGCACAACCGAACATGGGCCTCAGGGTTGAGGTAAGGCACAGCTGTGGAAGACGGCAGAGGAACCAGGCATGCAGCCTCCTGAGCCACAGGATAACAGGATCTAGTTCTAGAACCTACTCTCAGCTATACCCTAACACCCACTCTGAGACATGGAGGCCCACAGCCTAATAAATTCTAGAATTTCAGGCCCTGGGTGCCACTGACTCCGCAAAAAAATAAACTCAAATCAAGACTAAAGTGCAACTGTGATCCCACTTCCTCCAGGGCAGGAACCAGCTGTGGTCACGCCATCAATCACCGGCTTTTGGGGACCAGTGTATGGTGGGCACCGAAGGTAGAGGTCACGGAAATGCAGGTCCTGCCTTGCCCAGCCTCCTTCATGGGCCAAGTGTACAGGGACACACCACCTCCCCTCGCAGCAAAAGGACAGTGGGAATTTGACCTGCCCAGGCTTAGACTTATGTTCAACATTCACCAAGGCACAAAATGTCTACCTAGTATCTGACATTTTAAGATAAAATCACCCAGTCCTCCAAGCCCAAGATTGTAGAGGCTGTTATGACCCGTAAGACCCTTTGTCCTGATAGCCCACAAGGACACCAGCCTTCATCTGACCAAGGGGCCCAGTAACTCCGTTCCAGGGTTCTCTCCTCCCTCCACTGCTTGGGAAGGGAAATGGAGACAATCCCCAGCTCCAAAGCGAGTTTCCTAAATGGGTATTCTAAAGTTCCTACACAAGTGTAAACCCTAGTCGTCTTCCCACACTCATGGACATGAATTTATCCAAATACTTAGCTGGCAAGGCTATTTTCAACCATGACTGAGGAACCAGCAGAGCCCAGGATGCCTCTCCCCTGCCCGACTCCTCCCTGTAGCTCCAGCTTGGTCCTGGGTGAGGCAGGTATCAGATGCACCTGGCCCAAAACCCTGACCCCAGGCACCCAATAAATAACATCACCTAGGATTCATTTTGTCCAAATACCATCTAGATCACACAGTAGGGACAGAATTTCAGTTTGGGAATGGAGGCGGCCAGTAAACCAAAAAACACAGGGAGCCTGCATTGGTACTTTTCACTACAAAATAATTTATTACAACACAGCCTTTAGTGCAAGACACCTACGTACAAGTACACAGCATTCCTGACTACCCTAAGGGACCCTTTTTCTTCCCCCTTGCTTTGCGGACCTCTTCTATCAAATCTTTCAGATATTGAATCTCCTTGGCCAGAGAATCTGCCTTCTCTTTCAGAGCCTCATTTTTCTTTTCTAGCTCTTTACACTCACCAGTGAGGGCCTCTTGCTCAGCCCGCTTCTTCTGGCGGTACCTAGTGGCTGCTGTCTTGTTTTGCTCCATTTTTTTCAGTTTCTTATCCAGCTTTTCACCCTTAACTTTAGCCACTACCATCTTCTCTCCAGGGGGATCATAGGGTTTGGGACGGGAAGAACCACAGGGGACTCCTGCACATGGCAGGCTTCTATTCGGTGAGCCCCTGGAAGTAGAAGGACTGTGCTGGGGAGAACCAGGGTAGGACTCAGGGCTCATACAGGTACCACTGTCATTATCTGAGGGGGCATCTTCCTCCTTTACACACTGAGGAATCAAGGTAATATAAGCAATACAGTCGGATTTCCTATCTCCTTCAGAGATATCCACTTCACTGCCTAGCTCTAAGCTAAAGGAATGATCTGGAGTAGAGGACAGAACCCTGGAGGAAAGGGGAAGAGGTTGCAAGGTGAAAGGGGCAACCTGGTCTGTTTTGGTTAAACTTTCTGGAAGATGGCCAATTGGGTTCACTGCCTGGGGGGGCTCCTTATTAGTCTCCTGGACTAGGGATGCAAAGGGATCACATGTGTCATCCAACGTGGCCAAAAGCTCATCTGGCACGGTTTCCAGGTCATCTACGTTCAACAGGGCATCAAAATCAAACTCCTTCAGATCCATTTTCTCCAACATCCAATCTGTCCCAGAGAAGGCATCCTCTGCAAGAAAGAAGAGTGATGAGGTCACCGAGTCAGACACACAAGGACACCCCACCTAAGTGTACCCACACGGGCAGACAGACGAAGGTGGCTCACCCTTGCCGGTGTCAGAGGCACTGACAAACTCATCCACAGCCAGCCAATCGGAGGAGCCCGCCTTAGCCTTGTCGCTGGAGAACCCATGAGGTTTGAAGTGCTTGGCCACCTCCAGGTAGTCATCTAAGAGACCTAGACTTTCTTCAGCCCCCAAACCCGACTGGTCGAAGGGGGACATCAAGTCCCCCGCCAACACCTCGCTGCTCAGGAAGCTCATCTCGGCCATGTTGTGGGGCTTTACTGGAATCGAGGGATGTGCTTAATTCGAAGTTGTCTGTGTCGGTTACAGCAATGCTGCTGCTAGATGCCGTGAAAAGCCTAAACGCAAACAAAAGCAAATCCCACTGAGAGGTGACCTGGTCTAACAATTTCATCTTCTTTACCCAGGAGTCCAGATCACAAGGCCCCAAGGCCATTGTGCCGCCCTTTCCTGCCTCGGCTCAGGTTGCACAAAATGGAGGCCCAGGAAGCTGGGCCATTCCTTAACCGGCCACGCCGAGGACGGCGCTCGTCTACTACCAAATAGGGCCAAAGCCGCCGCGCCCCGCCCCCGCGTGACTCACGTCACCTCCCCGCCGCCATCTTGGCTATTGCCACGTTCGCGGGGGCAGACAGCCGGGCCCTCACGGGTTTGGGGAAGACGTTGCTCCGGAGAGGAGACCCCCAAACCGGGGCACGGTCCACATCCCATCCCGGAAGGGCCAGCGCCTAGGGGATGCCTGCACAGGAGGCACGCGTCCCGAGCGCTCGTAAAACCGCTTCCCCTCGCGACACGCCCGGGCCACAGGCCGCACCCAGGCCAAGCCCCGCCGATGCAGGGCGCACAGCCTGGTAAGGCACCGATACTCACGCCATGGCTTAAGCCGCTGGAGGTTGCCGCTGCAGAGCCTGATGCTGCTGCCGCCGCTGCAAAAGCCAATGCTGCCGCAGGCACTACTGCCTCTAATACGCCATGGTGGCCGCGCACCCTGCGCGAGGAGAGGAGAGAGAGAACCGCAGTGAAACCTACATCTACGGGCACGAGGAGCAGAAATGGCCGCGAGGAGTTGCCCGCCGGCTTTTTTATAGACTCCGCCCAGAGACGCAGCACAGGGCGCGTCCTTCCGCCGTGGCCACGTGACCCTTGCCGCAGGCCCCCCCACTCGCTCACGTCCGCCTACTGGCTCCAGCTCTCTGCCTTTAGGTACAAGGCATAGCAATGAAGGGAGAGGAATTTATTTTCAGTATCTCACGAAAAGAAAAAGGCGCACTATTTTACAGGAGGCCTACGACCAAAGACTCGCGTTCCTCTTTCCGCCGCGAAGAGCGGAGGGATCTGTCAGACACACCTCGCTTCCGGTGTTAGTTCCGAGGGCGGGGAGAGAAAGTCTTTCATCCCCAGTGTTTTATTGCCAAGGCCAAGGCCGCATGGTAATCGCGCGAGATGCTGGAGGGTACGCGCCTCGAGCTAATTGGTCTAAACTTGGTGAGTCATATATACTTCGAGTTCCTATTTGTTCACAGCATGAGATGGGCGGGCTGCTGTGCGGGCGCGCGCGGGCAGGAAAGGGCGGAGCCGCCGGTACAGTTCTCGCCACGGAGCTGCAGCATTTGGCAGCTCTTGTTTCAGGCTACTCCGCAGTAGTCACTTCAACCAGGGAACCTCTTTGTAGGCCTTCACCCCACACACACGCGCCTTTTACCGTGGCTTCATGTCCTCACCTCTGCCGTCCCTTCCTGCCACCCTTAGAGAAACTCGGAGCTAGTGACCTGAACTCCTAGCCTCAGTTCCTCTTCCTCTGCCACTTGGATCGGTTGGGTTGACTCCTGATCTGAAAAGGCCCCCAGAAGTTACCCGGTCCGAGTGTTGGTCTTTCAGAACGAGCCCACAGTGAGCGCTGGCTTGGTCCTCCGGAGAGGCTGGAGGACTACAGTTGGAAGGGAGGGCGTTCATGTTAGGAGATCACTAGATCTCTCCCCACCTACTCTCAAAGGCCCATGCAATCTACAGTGTCGATTGAGGAAAGACACACCATTTTAGAGCATGAACTATTTCCACAATACTCATTTTAGGAGTGTGCTGTTCTATTAAAGTATACAGCCTATTACTGTATAGGGGAACTTATTTTGACTTATATACGTTCAGATACTATTCAACTGGCATCTCTCCAAGCTAGTTTGGATTAACTCCCGATTCTGTTAACTCCCAGGTGTAACCAACTTTCTAACAAGTCATCCTAATAGCCCTGTGCGGAGAGAAGCTTGAGACCCCTCCCCTACTCTCCACACAGTGGAGCTGCTGTAGAAGTTCGGAGAATCTTCCCTCACACTCACGCTCCCTCCATTGGCTCTGTAAAGGTGGAAACCTTAAGTTCCACCTCTAAATAGATCACACAAATATTTCTGAGGGCTGGCTATATCATTTATTAGCTGGGACATTTAGCTAAGTGACTTGTCCTCTCTAAGCCTGCAAAGTGAGGATAATGATGAGTTCCCTTGTCCTAGGAATGCAGTGAGATCATATACGTAAAGCTCTTAGCACAGTGCCTGTTAAGTGCTCAATAAATAGTTGTTACTACTATAACTCAGGTCTTCTGACCTTGACCTCTCAGTCCCCTTGCCTTTATCCCCATGGCATCATTCTGCTTCCTCAGAGGACGCTACTATTATTTACTGACATGAAACCAACAGCTATAAACAACTGGTATACACAAGTCACACTGGATGCTGGGATGTCTTTCCTTTCCCTGGAGGGACTCATGAGTGTGGAGATACGGCTGAGATACATGATGGCATGTATCTCATGAGTGCTGACTGAGATAATATGATGGCACACACCTGGAACTCCCCCACTGGGAGCCTGAGTTTGAGCCTGGCCTGAGGTAAAGTGTGCACCCGAAGTCTGGATTACAGAGCAAGATCCTGTCTCAAAAGAGTTGTTTAGTGTTTCAGTACAAAGGGAGTAAAAATCCTGAGCTGTTATCTGTATCTTTCAGAGGCGTAATGAAGGACCCAGGGGGGCTTGTCCTCCTTTTGCTCTAGAGACTTAGCAAAGGCTGACAGCCAGCCACGCAGATGGTTAAAATTAAAGTAACACTGCCCCAGTTTCGACACGGCAGAGGTCATGGAATGAGTCTGGTGGCAACTGTTCCACCCATTCTATTATGAAGATGCAGGTCAAACACATCAAAGGTTCTCTTAGCTGAAAATGAAGACCCAGCACTCCTTTAGGAAAATGTTTCATACCACACACAAAGTCAGATTTGTTGGAAAGGAGATTTTATTTTCTTCTTCCTATGCTGTGGAAGAACATTGTGTTCCTGTTTCATTTCCTCCCTCAAGGAGAAAAAGGATAGCAGTTCTCTGGGTCTCAGGACTAAGCTGCTCCCACAGGTCCTAGCCAAGACAAGACACGGAGACTGGTGACTGACTCCTATCTGCCAGCTAGCCGATCGACCACCACTGAAAGGCAGACAAGTGAGTGAAAGGCAAGTTGCAGACTTGGCCTCAGAGACCAACAGTTCAAACCGCGAGGTGATCAAAATGATAAAGTAAACAGCACCCAGGATGCAGCTGTCCACAGAGCCCACATCTCTGCATTATGGCCACTTACAGTTAAGCAGTGTCTAAAGGGGCACAACCTCCCGGCCTGTCACAGGAATGGTCAGCTCCAGGCCTAAGGCTCTCTGACCATTCTCCTTGGCTTTGACTTTCAAGTGAAAGGGCAGAGTTCTAGCAAATCCTCCAACCCAAGTTAGTCCAAGGAAGGTGTACCATGGCAGAGGCTCTGGACATACACAGGGACCCCTACATACAGAACCCCTCTCGGGGGCTCTCCAGGGCTCTGAAGCTGAACCCTCATCTGAACCACCTAAGCAGCCAAGTGAATTACAAGGGGGCAAAATAGCTCAATGGAAATGTGAACAGGTGGATGGCCAGGGACTAAGACCCAAGACAGTAAGTTTCCTCAGCAGAGCTCTTCCAAACATGACCTTCAAGGTTTCCTTCCTTTTCAAAAAGTCACAACCAAAATCCTGCTATCCTGAACTCGTTTTCTAGGAATGAGCAACAGGGAAGAACCAAAATAAACTTGGGATAATGATGAGTGTATTTTTAGGCTGTGTGGTTTGCTAATTGAGAAGGTACCAAAAAGATCTCCAGACAGAGAAGTGGGAGCACTTGCTATTCCTTCAGGCAAAAGCGGAGCTACTGAACAGAAAGTGGTGGGGCAGCCACTGCATCTTTCCCGTTTTTTAAAGGGAAGTATGTGTGACAGATGTTGCCCTCTCCATCCCAGCCTCTCAGAGAACCAGCTACCCTCCACATTTTATGAGGAAAATTGTAAACCCACCAGTACCCAGGCTGAGTTCCCACTGCTGCTAGTTCTGAGGACGTACGAGACAGGCTCTTGCTTGTAGGACGACAAAGTTACGGTTTGGGTTTTGTGAAGCATAGTTAAAAGTCAGAGCTGCCCCTAAAGACACAAAATAAACTTATTTCCCTTCCTAAATGCAGTTGTGCTTGACTCTGGTAACTTGGGACTCTTTAAAATCTTTTTTTTTTTTTTAAGACAGGGTCTCACTATGTCATTCAAGCTGGCCTTGAACTATGTATCAAGGCTGGCCTCGAACTTGGGACAATCCTCCTGCCTTAGCCTCCCGAGTGCTGGGTAAAATCTTGGGATTCTTTAAAGCTTTTCTTTTTTAAGCTCTATCCAAAGTTTTATATAGAATTTGGTCAGAAATGACAAGTTGGTAAATTTTTGAGTTTTATAATACTCCTGGCAGGGAATCCAAATCCTTTATCTCAACAATCTGCTTCTCAGCTGTGACAACACCTCAGGACACCAGAGGGGGCACTAGAGCCCTCATCATCAGGCTTCACCCCATCCCCTCCATACAGGAGCCAGGAGCCCTGAGTCTCACAGATGTTTTCAACTCCCATTTATCTGGGGGGGGGGGGCGTACCAGGGATCGAACTCAAGACCACGCGCTTGCAAGGCAGGCGCAGGCACCACTCAGCTAAATCCCCGGCCCAATCACATTTAATTCTAAGGAACAGCTGGGGTGGAGCACTTCTCAAGGTTCTTTGCTTCATCTTTTCAGTTGTTCCTCGATACCTTACCCAAATAAAACAATGAACCTTGCAGATTACCAGAAAGGCAGAAAGACTCTAAACATAGTAAAGGCTATTCTCAACTTTCTAATCTATGAAAAAAAAAAAGGGGCAGGCATCTATCTCTGCCCTCAACTGGGGGTTGCTGGGCACCAGTGCTATTTTAAGTCATTTTGTGTCACTGTCATTGGAAAGGAATGAGACAGCTGCAGAGAACACAGAATCTCACTGATGGAGAGGTAGTAAGAATAGATAAAATAAGGCTCGATGAGAACAAAATACTGGATGGGCATATCAGCAATGTCAGCCTTTTTGCCACAAACAGAAAAAACACAAAACAAGAAGACACAGACATGGTGTATTAAAACACTCCTCTCCACCCTCAGGATACATTTACATTGCCATAGTGCAGGTTTTAGCAGCAGGAACCAAGAAGGAATGTGGGCAATACACACCTCCTTCTCCTGGGATTATCTCTGTGCTCTCTCTTCCTGGGTAGCACCAATCTCCCCAGGTGCAGGGTGACAGACTGGACAGGGGAAGAGGGCTGTGCACGTTCACCTGCCCTGTGGCCTCTGTGGATACCAGGAGAGCTCAGCAAACACCCTTCTCCTAATGCTGTGGCAGACACGGGGAAGAGCAGCTGGCTGCTGGGCCTGTTCTTGCTCTAAGGCAACATCCTAGAAAGGCAAGTTCTTTCAGAGGATAAAACTTATTCACTGAGCCCTAACTGGCGAGTGGATTTTCCAGCTGACAGCCTGCTGTTCACCTCCTTCAGCCTCTACTGCTAAACCTGCATTCCTTCAAGGCCTTGTCCTATTGGAAATAAAGATGGAAAAGGATGAAACCAGCATACACATGAGGCGCTGCCTTGTAGCCATTGTCCCTTCTTTACCTGGCAGCCACAGATGAGATGCAAACAGCATGCAGGCCTTCCACCGGGCCCTAGGAACCAACTCCTGGTCCCTCTGTGCACTCATTGATGACCACTAATAAATAAAAGCTCCAAATAACACTGCATCCTGTCATCCTGTGTAAGTTGGTAACAGTGTCCCCAGAGAAATATTCTTGGTGTTTATGAAGTTGGTTGAGAGGTGGGGGTGGGGGGAGCTTGTTTTCCAGGAACCAGGGTCAAAGACCAGCTCTTCCACCAGCCTCGCCCCTGGAAACCCTAAATACTGTCTCAGTGCTCACTCTGCACAGTTGGGCTTGCAAAGCTGTAATCACAGCGCTTCTGTGATATTTAACTGAAAGGCAACATCTTCATTAGGTAGTTATGCTCCAGGGACAAAACCCAAACAGAAGGCATGAAACAGAAGAGAGGAAGAGACAGGCACTGAATCGGAAGGGTTTTGCAAAAGGGCAGTGCAGGGCACACAAAGCAGGAAATGTGGGACAAAATGCAAAACAAGTGGTCTCAACAGCTCAGGCCAGCACTTTACCTTCTCAATTCATTCTAGAAAAATCAGCTTGGACTAAGAAGGGAGTAGGGAGCACAGTGTTTGGTAACAAAAATAGATAGGGCTGGCTAAGAAAACAGGGGACCAAAGAGATGTCATTCTAATCAGCATGAAGGGACCGGGACAATGACCAGTAAAACCAGGAGGCACCTAGGGACCCTGTGAGGCACCAACTACGTAGCCACGTGTTTCTAACGGAGAATCCGGGGCCTGACCACCGGACAGTTGCTTTGGCCTTCACCTCTTCTTAGGTCTGCAGCAGCATCTCTGGCTCAGACAAGGAGCAGTAGAGAGTGTATCCCAATTCGTCGATTTCCTCAGGGGTGAGCTCTGCAAATAAGTTCACCTTGGGGTTCAGGGCACTGGGCAGGACTCCAGCCTCTAAGTAGCGGATAAGTCCCCTCAGGGCCTGCAGGAAACGATCGGCCAGCACATCTGGAGACCAGTCAGCCTCCTCCTGGGCCAAGTGGAGGATGACATTGGTTAGCTGGCTGGCAGTGAGGTGGCCCAGAGCCGGGGTGGACTTGCATATGGCCTTGAGAATCTTGAGGCACAGAGATCGGCAGCCTGAGTCTGCCTGGTCCAAAGCCCACAAGCGTGCCGTCTCAGCTGGACGCAGGCTCAGCCGCCACAGGTTGTCATACTGGGCTAGCCTGTGTGGTCTGGCCACCAAGACAGTGTCACCAAGGGTCACCGATGGCAGGAAGTCAATGACAAGATGTTTGTCCCGCTCATACTGCACTTCTAGCGTCAGGGCCTCTGGGGGAGGTGCTGGTCGGATCACATAGTCCAAGAGGGACCCTATGGCTGGCCAATTGATAGAGCCAGCCACAACCTTCTCAAATGTGTCTGCCACTGTCTTTGGGGAGAGGTAGCCTCCTACTACACAGCGGTCCCAGTAACTGCTGCCACGAGGAAAGTACTCTGGGTTCTCACGACGAACCAGGAAGAAGCCAGGGACATTCATGATAGTATCCTCACCAGGTATGCAAGACCACAGGTTCTGCTCCAGCACAAGGGGCACGATGAGTTGGATATGGTCAGCTGTCACGACCTGCCAGGACAGAATTGAAAAGGTTATGAGGGGTTTATCCTGCTCAAGAGACATGCTCCCCACAAAAAACCTACCATCTTGCACTCTCCCAACAAGAATGGAAGCTAAGAATTCTTTCATGTCTCTGAAGCAATCTGCACAGAGGAAACCAAACAGGAGAGGGGGACAAGAATACAGGAAGGCCAGGTATGGTGGAGCACACCTGTAATCCCAGCACTTGGGAGGCTGAGGCAGAAGGATCCCTGAGAGAGTTCCCGGCCAGCCTGAACTACATAGCAACAGGGGCCGGGGATTTAGCTCAGTGGTTCTGCCACCTGCCTTGCAATTGCAAGGTCCTGAGTTCAAGCCCTGGTACCAAAAAAAAAAAAGTCTACATAGCAACTTCCTGTCTCAAACATTTTTTAAAAAGGAATACAGGAAGATTTCTTACAGCTTAAAAGTTGCATGACTCAACAATAAGAAAAGGATAAGGAAGACACCAGAGCAGAGTAACATGCTGCTGCCAGGTGCAGGATTCATAACAGGCAGGACCCCAGTTTTTCTGAGGCCGCGACACTGACTTCCTGGGCTGCATTTGGTCAGTCCCTACCCCACCCTTCATGAGAAGCATCTCATTACCTGTAGGTCATCATAGAGGCTGCCACTCAAGTACATCTCCCGAAGTGGCATGTCAGGCAGCTTGGCCCGTAGGAAGCTCCGGAGCTCAGCACATATGTCCACGGCAGCTTGCTTGGCCCGAGCCTGCTCTCCAGCAGGGATGGCTGCCCGGTTCCGGTAGTAAGTAAGAAGTTTCTCCTGCAGGGACATGCGGAGTCGTGACTTCTTCAAGTCTACCTGGCCCTTCCTGGCCAATGGCTTGGGCCGGGGTGGGCAGAATGTATCTGCCAAGGCAAGAGAGAGAAGCACGTGAGCTCTTCCCATGCTTGCTCAGTCCACAGCTGCCTCAGCCCCAGAAAGAAGGGCCTGGCACAAAGGGCAGTCCCTGCACAGCCTGGCATGTATGCACTCAGGAAATGCCTGTACAGTGCAAGGGTGGTACTGGAGACCAGGGTCCCAGGAGCTAACAGCCCTCCTCACCTGTGTCAAAGGCCGAAGAGTCTGTGGGAAGGGTCTGCAGGGACCGGCTCAGGCCTGTCTTCATGTCCCTGCTCAGCAATCGTGGGGAGCCCATCCAGTTTGGTTCTTCCCAGCTCCTTTTCCCTGAATGGCTCAGGCGAGTGGGGCTCGTAGGGGCACTGATTGCCCGATCGTACATCTGCGACGGCAGAGAGGACACAGGACATAGACCTACTTTCCTCCTCTCCTTCCTTCCAATTCCCTCCTCCCCAGCTTTGCCCTAGTAAGTTCAGCTACTGTTTCCTGGAACCCAGGGCCTTCACTCTTTATTAGATATCTAAATATTTTGAGACAGGGTCTTACTAAGTTGGCCTGGCTGGCTTCAAACTTGCAATCCTCGGGCCTTAGCCTCCCCAACTGCTGGGATTACAGGCATACACCACCATGCCCGGCCTCAAAAACAGTAAACAGTTATAGTTGTTTCCTTAGTATCCCAGGGGGAGGGCTTTCAGGACACCCTGAGGATACCCAAATCTGCTGCTCAAGCCCTTTAATAAAGGCTCAGTAGTTACATATAACCTATGCACATCTTCCTACTAAATGCTTTTTTTTTTTCTCTATTAAGGATTGAACCCAGGGCCACTCTACTATTGAGCTATACCCTCAACCCTTTTTTATTTTTTGAGACAGGGTTTTGCTAAGTTGCCCAAGTGGGACTCAAACTTACAATCCTCCTGCTTAGCCTCCCAAGTGCTGGGATTCCAGGTGTGCACCAACGCACCTAGCTCCTTTATATCTTAAGTCATTTCTAGATTACTTATAAAACCTAACACAGAATAAATGCTATGGAAATAGTTGCCATACTGCATTGTTTAAGAAAAATGACAAGAAAAAAGCCCCTACATGTTCAGTACTGATGTGTGTTTTAAAAAATAATTTCAATCTTCGGCTTTATTCAGAGGCTACAAGTATTGGGCATTGTTCTAGGTGCTAAGAATAAAGCAGCCAACTAAAGAAGCCCAAATCCTCACCCTCATGGAGTTTCTGGTCTATTAGGGAGACATAAACAATACATAATAAACAATATACACAGAGATAAATATTTTTTTAAAAATTGGGGCCGGGGATTTAGCTCAGTGGTTCTGGCGCCTGCCTTGCAAGCGCACAGTCCCAAGTTCAATCCCCAGTACCAAAATAAATAAATAAATAAAGCTGGAAAAGGAAATACAAGTTCATGTGTGGTGAGGTGCTGCTATTTTAAATAAAGTAGTTGCTGGGTGTGGTGACAAATGCCTGTATTCCCCACTACTTGGGAGGCTGTCAGGAGAACGGCAAATGTGAGGATACCCTGGGCAACTTAGTGAGACATTATGATTACAAAATAAAGAGTTGTTTCAAAATTTAAAAATAAGACTAGGGGCTGGAGATTTAGCTCAGTGGTTCTGCCTCCTGCCTTGCAAGTGGAAGGACCCAAGTTTGATCCCCAGTACCAAAAAAAAAGAAGACCATGGGATGTAGCTCAGTGGTAGCTCACCCCTGGATTCAATCTGTAGTACGAAACAAACACAGTAGTCAAAGAAGGCTATTTTGGTTACTTGACATTTTTTTGTTTGCTTGTATCCCCAGTGCTTTTTCAGGGTAGAGTCCTGGAAACAATCTCACTGAGTTCTCAGCATCTCGCCCAACAGTACCAAATCATCAAGTTACATGAGCAGCATCCAAGTCCTATTCCAGGGAGCTCCAGGCTGTAGAGGCTGCCCCACCCGCTCCTGGCCCTGCCCCTGGCTGCAACTTACCCGCTTAACTGCCAGCGTGGCGATGCCCAACATGGCTGCTCCACCCACCCCAAGCACCAGCCGGGCATTGGAGAGCACGAAATCAATGGCCGTGCCAATGCCATTGTCATCTTTCTTGCCTTTGCGCTCACCAGCGCCTGCCATCGCTCACCTGAGAATGAAGACAGAACATAGCCATCACCACCTGGGACTTCTGCCACCAAGGAGGGTAGCCCTCTGCCTTCACCTGTCTCTGCCGTCGAGGTCAGGGTACCCCTCTTGACTCTAGCACTGCGTACCCTCAGGGAGGTGGTATGGCCCATGATATATCTAGATACAAGGGGGAGGATACGATTGTATGCACTGTGGGAAAACCTCTCCATGGATCTACTGATACTCTACAAAGCTTTAAGTTCACCATCAGTCCTTTTTTTTGCATTACAGTGAAATACCTGCCCCACTAGGCAATGTCACCTTCTCTACCACTTCACAATGGCATAATGGCTGGTCAGGTTTCCCTCTGTTGGCCACTACTTTGTAACATGTTAGAACTGAGAAGGGCCTTGGGGCTTATCTAATCCAATCCCATTGTTCCTCAGTAAGAGGGTGACTTGCCAGAAGTCCTACAGAAAAGAAACAACACGTGTATCTCCAAAACTCAGCACTCCCAACTCCTTTTACAGTGTTTTCTCTACTGTATTATGCTTACCCTAACCCAAATCAAACTAGTCCTAAGTCTGTCTTCTGCAAACAAAACACAAAATAGAAGGGAACAAACACCCTGCAGATGGAGACATAACTGTAAGTCCACACAGGAGTATGGTGGAAGGGTCCTTTGTGGATGTCCCTACTGGGCAAATGCTTACTTCTTGGGGCAAGTGTGTAGGGAGACTACTAAAGCTCAGACAGAGGCCAAGAAAAAACACAAAGGATGCCACAGACTCAGTTGTGGACTGGAAAACAAAAACACCCAATGCTCAAATGTACTTTTTTTTTTGGTACCAGGGATCAAACTCAGGACCTTGCGCTTGGAAGGCAGGCATGGCACCAGTGAGCTAAATCCCCGGCCCCTCAAAGCACCTTTTTTTTTTTCTTTTTGTACCAGGGATCAAACTCGGGTCCTTGCATTTGCACAGCAGGCAGTGAAACCACTGAGCTAAATCCCCAGCCCCGCAAAAGCACTTTTAAGAACTCAAAATGTATACACCTAAAAGGTATACATGGGCACACCCAGAAGGGCAGTGTTCTGCCCAGCACTCCAGGGGGAACACCGTGCGCTCGCTCCCTCTCCCTCTCTCTCTCTCTCTCTCTCTCTCTCTCTCCCTGGCTATGAAGAAGTCATCCTACCATTTGACCCAGCTATACCTATACCTCTTCTTGGTATCTTCCCAAAAGAATTAAAAGCATCATACCACAGCAATATATGCACATCATGTTTATAGCAGCACAGTCTGTAATAGCTAAATCTTGGAAACAGCCCAAATGCCTATTAACAGATGAGTGGATAAAGATGTGGGTTTTTTATACAATGGAGGACTACTCTGCCACAAAGAAGGATGAGCTTCAGACATTTATAGCTAAATGGATGGACCTTGAGACCATACTTTTTTTTTTTGAGACCATACTATTAAGTAAAATAAATTTGACACACATGTTTAAATACCACATTGTTTCTCTGGTATGAGAAACCGAAAGTGGAAATACGGACTGAGATGTATAATGGATATTGGGAAATGGAAAGAAAGTGTTCAAATGGGAAGAGGAACAAGGGAGGAGGGAGGAGGAAAGGGACAAGAAAAAAGTGAAAATAGAAGGAAAAAATGGAAACAAAGCTTCTGTACAGAGGGGAGGGGGCTTGGGGGGGGATGGGATAAAATAAAATTTATTTTTTAAAAAAAAGAAAGATTCATCCCCCCCCACCCCCAAAAAGAAGTCAGTTTGATCAGAGCAGCCCTGGGCCTGACCAGATAATGAGGTCACGTGGGTCAGACCTGACTGCTGAGCTCAGCACTGCTACTCTCTCCCACCTCACATGTCCTCAGGAAATACATAGGAAGAACAAAGTTGAGTTGCACTTAGGGCCCCTGAATAGGACAACACAAGGGGATCTGTGACTGGAGGTATGGCTCAGTGGTAGAACCCTTGCTTAGCATACATGAGGCCCTAGGTTTAATCCCCAGCAGCCAAAAATAAAAATAAGACACAGAATCAGTGCAAATATCTTCCAGTATAAAATAATGTTCTTTCTCATATCCTGTGAGGACTGGGTATTGCTAGTTTCAAACTTCGTGCTCTCTGCCTACACTTCCCTACCTCCTCAAAAAATGAATGAATAAAAGAACAAATAAATGAAAAAGAAGTATTTCTGACCCTACTTATTCTAGCAACTGAGTTAACTAAGAGTCACTGCCAAGTCCAAAAAGTCTTTCTCTCGCACATGTTCACAACCTTGGTGGCATTTTCCTTTTCTTCACCTTTTGCAGTCCGCAGAAGCTTCAGGTTTAGGACCATAATGAGGGACTACCTGGCCAAACAAAATATATTTCTGCTTCAAATGCACAGAGCAGGCAAGGCCAAGAATATTTAAAATGGTACTTCCAAGTGGGATCAGGCAAGAGAGCCAGCCAGTCTTCTGCAGGGGCCATTGTGACAGATGGGACATCCAGACAGCAGAGGAAGAGCAGTCCAACCAGGAGAAAGCGGAACATTACACATTTCCCTACATAGAGTCATGACTTCTCTTTTTTTTCAGGAAATACAAAAGAACTGCACAAAGCTCTGGGTTCAATTTCCACCACAGAAAAAATAAAGCCACTTTTGCTGATGCATTTATAATAGGAAGAACCACTGCATACAGCATCCTTTAAATCATTCTTAAGGCCTTTTTTTTTTTTTTTTTTTGGTACCGGGGATCAAACTCAGGTCCTTGCACTTGCACAGCAGGTGGTGAAACCACTGAGCGAAATCCCTGGCCCCTTTAAATCATTCTTGAATGAAGCAGCGGGACCAGAAGAGTACCCGCTCCTCCAAGCAAAAGCCAGAAGGGGCCTCCTGGGTCATTGAGCCCTTGGCCCTTCTGGGATGGCGTTAAGAACAAGGTGGTCCTGCATCTGCCTCCAAAGTGCAAGGTCCTGAGTTGGATCGCTGGTACTGCCAAAAAAAAAAAAAAAGAACAAGGTGGTGCCATGGCGCAATAGGAGAGAACATGGGCTTTAGGGTTGTAAGTCCTAAGACTGAGTAGTTGTCTTGAGCCCTGGCTAATCAGCTGCATGATCTCAAATGGGTTGCTTAACCCTTCAACTATGAAAAGGGGATAATCATAGGGTTGTGGTGAGGAAACATCTGCCACAATACTGTAAGCGAACACTTTATAAACTGTAAACATGCTCCACAAGTAAGGGCTATCATTAAGTCCTCTCAGATGTCCCTCCACTAGACAGAAGGCCAGCTTTCAGAAGGCAGTCGGAAACCCAGACTGTTCTCTGACCTACACTGCACCTTTAGGGACAGCTCAAATGCCTCTAAAACACTATGAAGCTCTCCTGGGCTTGAGATCAAAACTACCTAAGTAGAGCAGGCTTGGTAAAGGCTCTTCCTACTCTAACGCTACACTCCCACACCATCGAAGGATCAGGTGATATCACAGACCCGGTGATCTTGACAGAGCAGCCACAGGCTCCACCAGGGATACATCGTCCTTATTCTAAAACTTAATTGATCTTGTTCAGTGGAAACTGCCTCCCACCACATACCCTGCTCTCAGGCTCTGCTGCACTAGCCTGCGGCCTACTGGGAGACAAGAACACCACAGCTTAAGGAGGGAGGGGCCTGGCTCCTCAGGGCAACAAGAAGGACCACTTGTCTTTCTCAGTGGTGCACACCTACAATCCCAGCACTCAGGAGGCTGAGGCAGAAGGATCATGAGCCTAAGGCCAGTCTGGCCTGCCTAGACTATACTGTCTCAAAACCAAAAACACTGAAAAAAAAAAAGAGAGAACCACAATCGTTTAATAGGTAAAGTTTCAGATCTCCTAGGTAAAAAAAGTTTTGGAAATCCATTCCACAACAATGTGATTGTACTTAATACAACTGAACTGTACACCTGAAAATGCTTAAGATGGTAGCAGTGTGTCAGTGCACACCTCTGGAAGGCTGAGGTAGAGGATCCCAAGTTGTAGGTCCTAGGACTCCCACAGAAAGCACCCTGACCCACATCTGGCAGGAAGAAGTGCTACAACTGAAAAGCCAAAAAGAACATAAACAGGCCCTGCTGGGCTTCTCCTCTCAATCTATTACTATTAGATCCCACTCTGTCTAGTCATATTTCTACATGACTGTTTTCAATTCCTTGAACTGAAGAATAAAACAAGTAATCCACCCTGGGTTGGTGGGTCTTCATTTCTAAGGGCTTCCAGGAACTTATACTTGTGATGAAATAAATAAATCTGTCGAGCTTTTCTCTTGTTAACCTGTCTTGTTAGAGGAGTGTCGCCCATGGCCCTTTATGATGGGCAGAAAAAGGAGCCCTTGTGGTGGACATCTGACATACTCTCGCATCTTCATCACGACAATCCCATGAGGTCAGTAATATTGTGCTCTCCAATTTAAAGATGAAGGCTAGGAAGATATTAAATGACTAGCCCACAGCACTTACTACATCTATAAATTGTGCAGCCAGGATCTGAACCTAGGGCTTACGCTGCTGGGGAGAACTAATCTAGAGGAGTCCTAACAGTCTACAACTCCACCTCACCTGCTCTCCTCTCTAGTAACTACTGGACCACAAATTTCTAGAATTCCTCTTCCCCAATGAATGCATTGTGGTGCATTCACTGCTACATCCCCAGGGATCAATGTTTGACACAGTAAACATCTGTTGCATGAATGCATGATTAACCCTATGACATTTGACTTTTTTTTTTAGTGGATGGTGATGGCAAGATATAGCAACTCACAGTTACACAAATTAGGCATACAAAGATTTCAATAACTCAGCTTCCCTTTGAGGTGGGCTACCCTCCCAGGCCAGGCAGGCTCCTGCAGGCATCATTCGGCCCCTGGCTTTGTACTGCCAAAGTCAGGTCTGCTAATCAATGAAATTGGCCAGGGAGAATCAAAAGCCATTACAGAAGGCTCCTCTGCCTGCTTCCATCTTAGTCCAAAACAGCACCCTCTGCCCAAATAGCAACCACCACAGCTACCCTTCATCCTCTCGCCTCCTGCCTCAGCCAACTGGCCACCAAGCCCCCACTCCTATACATGTTGGGTTTATATGCAACCACTCTCACCATCCCAGGCCCTCGATCCATCTGTTCAGATTCACTGCCTCTCTTCTCTCACCAGTTTATTTTCCACACCACCATGGTATGCTCCAAGGCACAAATGTGGCCATGTCATTCCCTTCTTACAAAGCTAGGACAATCTTTGCAGACCTGGCCCAGCCTCAACTCCAGTCACTTGCCTTACAGGTGCACCATTCTAGCAATGCCAGGTTTCCAGACTACAAAATGCAGTTTCCACCTCCAGGCATTTGTTTATTCTTGTCCCCTTGCCCAGTGAGATTCTATTTCTCATTTGAGACATGCCTCAAATGCCTTCTTTTCTTTTTTTTTTGGTACCAAGGATCGAACTCTGGACCTTGCACTTGCGAGGCAGCCGGCAGAACCACTGAGCTAAATCCCCGGCCCAAATGTCCTTTTTCTACAGCCACCTATGATCCCCTCCTACCACAAAACCCAAAGCAGGGCCGGGGATTTAGCTCAGTGGCACCCTGCCTGTCTCACAAGCACAAAGTCCTGAGCTCAATTCCTGATACCAAAAAAAAACAAACCCCAAAGCAGAGCTATGTCTTCCTTCCTGCCCCCACAGCTCTCTACACAACCTTCTAGCACAGAGCTGCTCATACTGGGATTACTGCCCATTGATATCTTTGTAATACTGAGTTCTCTAATGGACACATCATCCATCTCTATCTCCAGAGCCTACCAGAAGCCAGGCCCATACAAGGCCCTCCAGGAAGGCTGCTGAATTAAATATAATCATTATGCTGCAGTGAGACTTCTTGCTGACACTGGCATCCAGAGTAAATAGAGCTAGCCTACCCCTTGCCAAGAACCATGCCCAGTCTGTGTGTGCACTCACTGTCTCACTGAATTCTCCTAATAACCCAAGAAGGTAGCTACTATTATTTGTATCTCACAAACAGGAAAATGAAGACCTGGAAAGGTTAGTGACTTGCCCTAATTTCCACAGCTATCTGTAGCAGTGCCAGGATCTGAACCCAACTCTGAAATCCGTACACTATGCTTGCTTTGTAGACTGTGTTATAACAGAACATAGTTGTTTAAGGAAACATATCTGACCCACACACAAGTACATGTACCTGAATCTACTAAAGAATGAGCTGGCTTGCAAGTGAATTCTAATGGCTTTAACCAATAGTTTTCTAACATTTTCATATATAAAATGTTCTATGAAATAAGATGGTGATACTAATCTGTTCTGGTGGGGCCTTAAATTCAGGGCCTATTTTTTTTTTTCCACAAAAGGACTCACTTCTTTTAATATGTCTGATTTCCTTCACTGAGAAAACTAAAGGAAAGATGCTGGTAACTAAAAGGTTCTCCCTTTCCTAGTTTTCCCTGCATCAGAAAAAAAGTGAAGCCTACAGAAACGAGGGCCTACTTACCTGAGGCTTCTTAATGCATCGGGGAGGTGGGGGTGGGAGAGAGCAGGAGTGTCCACAGAAGGCAACTTTGTTCTCTTTCCTTGCAGTCAGGGTGCAAATGTAAAGGAGAGGATCCTAAACAAGCCCCCCCAGTTTGCTGTGGAGGAAGACCAGGCCCTTCTCCAGCTGTTTCTCCCGGGCCTCAGGATCCTCTAGCCTCTGATTTTTCCGGAACTCACGGCGGATAGAAGCAAAGTAGAAGTCCCGATCAGTGTATCGAAGCTCTCGGCCCTGGCGCAGCAGAGCCCGGTAGAGATTCAGCACCGCCTCTCGGCTCCACGGGGCCATGGGGGACAGGCTGGGGCTGGTGTCACACTCTACACAGAAGAGAATGTACAAGGCTGGAATAAGAACTAACGACATGGAGAGAATGTACAGGTCAGGGGTTTTTAATCCAGTATTCAGACTTCCAAGGTTACACTTTGACTTCACTGCAGGGCTAAGACTGGATCTTAGTCTTCCAACACTCCCTCCTGGGAAAGTACAGGTTATGGCTCATCAGGGCTTGGAAGCTGGATTGCCAGGCTGGAATCCTGGCTGTGCCACTTACTTGCTAGATGACATTGGATAAAGTTCTTAATCTCTTAAGCATTAGCTTCCTCACTTATAAAACGGAAATAATGATGACATTACAGTAACAGCAACTACTATTTTGAGAACTTCCCACCTGTAAAGCACCTGTAATAGAACTTCATCACAAAGTATAGTCCAAAGTGGCTTAAGTCAAGAACTCAGCCATATTTGAATACTAGCACCACCACTCTCATGAGCAACATTACCCTGGGCAAGTTTCCTAACCTCTCTGTGCTTGGCTCATTTCCTCTGTGCAGTGAAAATAAATCATATTTTGTCCAAATGGTTGGTCTGACCATTAAAAGAGTTAAGACACATTTAGAACAGCACTTGGCACATACTGAGCACTCTAACAAAGAAAGCTATCATTAGTGCTACCTAGCCAGGTTTGTAAACGCTCAATAAATATCACATTTAGTTATACACAAACTTCTGCCTTTCTTCAGTAACAATAAACCCTTACACAAGCACAAATGTTATCTTATCATCTGTAAAGTGCTCTATCATAGATTATTACATTTTAACTAAAAATCTATGATGCAGTCAGGATTCATAATAATAACAGTGATTGCTTACTGAGGGCTTACTCATTACCAGGCATGTTCTAAGCATATTCCACTAATAACTCACTCTATCAACAACCCCAGTCTCATCATTAACTCCAAGTGGAGTTACTCCAAGTAACTTGCGGACAGGCACACAGCTCCTGACCCCCAACTCTGCGTGCACTGTACGTGAGTTACCGTGTGCTGGGGCCTTCCCAAGTGTGCAGCACTTCTGGGCGTCCCAGGAACTTTCCCAGCAGCATGGCTGGAACATAGGGACTCAAAACTGCTGAGTGAAAGAGGAAAAACTCACAATGGCCCTTTATGGAAGAAAGGATCACCCCAGCTTCACAAAGAAATGCGCCTGAATGGGGCAGGTATTTGGAGAAAAAGGATCTGACCCTTGGGCCCAAAGGCAACTCGCCACTGCGTCCGGCCTTGCTAACTTCCAGCACGAGTTTGGGCAAGCCTCGTCTCCGTCTCTAATGGCTTCCCGTGGATAGAGAAGCAGAAAACCAACAAAGGTGCTTGATGAGGTAGAAAGTGACCGTCACGGGAAGGCTGTTGCTACAAGGTCGCCGGGCGATGGGCGGCGGAGCCCGGGCGCCCCACCTTCCTCGACCCTAGGGGCGGGACCGAGCGGGGTGCGGCGAGCCCGAGGCCAGGACAGTCCTGCTTTGGAGCCCGGAGGCCTCTGGAGGCTAGGGCTGGGACACGAAGAGCCTTCCAGGGGAAAGCGCAGGGCCGGCCCGGGGAAGCCCGGCGCCGGCCGGTAGCCAGGACCTGGGCCGGGGGGGGCGGCCAGAAGCGTCCCTTAGAGACGACGCGCGAGCCCCCAGCCCTTGGCAGTCCCATTCCTCACTCACCCGCGGGCCGCGCGCGCTACCACTCCTCGGGATTCGCCTCTCGCCCAATTCCTCTCTCTGGGTCACCCATCAACATGGCCTCTTTACTTCCGGGACATGACCTAGCGCACGTACCCGAGGGCGGGACTGAAGGGAGCACGGAGAGGAGCGGAGGCGGAAGAACTTCCGGTCTTCTCCTTCTCAACCTCCCTCCTGAGGCGGGGCCAGAAGCTTCGTTGGCCCCGCCCTCGATCGGGCTCCGCCCATCAACATTACCACGCCTCCTGGTGAGACGTCACTAGGGCGGAGCTGTTGAGGCCATGCGGGCCACGCCCGCTGCGGAGTCTGGGGCAGAGGTCCGGCTGTGGGCACGTGGGGGTCCAGAGGGAGCAGAGAGGACCGGGTGAGCATTCTCGCTTTCCCTCCCAGTGCCACCAGCCGCCAGTCCCCGGACTGTCGTGGCAGTGTGCCCAGACCCCTGCCTTGACTGCTGAAGTCTTGTGGGTCCAGAGAAAATTCTAGCTTTCACAGCCTTTGCAAGTCCACTTTGACATTTTCGTTCCTCCAAGCCGTTCCACCCCTCAGGCCTCTTGGCTCCCAGCAGACTCCTACCCTTCCCTCAAGGTCTACCCCAAATGTCCCCGCCAGAAGTTCATTTCAGCCCCTTCCTCACCCTCCTCCGACATACTTAGGTTCTTCCTTTGGGCCCCATGGAATGTCTGTACCAACACATCTCTTAACCCTATCAACAGCAAAACCTACTTACTGGACCTGTAACATGCCAGGCACTGCTCATTATCCATTTGCTTCTGTGTCTCATTAGATTTGAGGATGGGGCAATATCTCTAGGAAATCTGAAACGACCCCGCCCCAAGCCTCAGGGTCTGGCTCAGTCAAGCCAGTGATGCCTGGGGCTTTGGAGTCTGGACAGCAGCTCTGTTCCACACTTCCTAACCTTCCCCAGTCCCAGGCTGCTGTGAAGACTAAATGGTCTCCAGCAGGAGGTAGGTGGCACTCACAGAGAACCTGTCCATCCATGCCTACATCAGGGCAAAAATCTGGGGCCTCTAAAGTCCAAGGCACTGCTGTAGACACCACAGAATGACCAAGGGCTTAGAAACCAGGAGGAACTGGTGAGAGGACTTGCAGTGGGGCCTGTCTCATAAAGAGACAGTTTTCCAGGGAAGAGTATTCTGAAGCAGCACTGATGGTGAGTCAGGTCCTTAACAGGGATGACTTCTAGAGCCCAGGAGCAATGCTATAACCTGAATGGTTAAAATGATCTTTAAAAATTAAGCTTCTACAATCAGGCATGGTGGTGCACACTTATCTTCTCAGCATTCAGGGAGGAAGAGGCAAGAGGATTGCAAGTTCAGGCCCAGCCTGGGCAATTTAGCAAGACTCTTGAGTCAACCTTTTTTTCAAAGACACAAGCTGGGCATGGTGGTGCATGCCTATAATCCCAGCACTCGGTAAAATGATCACTGCAAGTTCTGAGCCCAACCTGGGCTACATAGTGAGTTCAAGGACAGCCTGAACTACATAAGGTAAGGGCAGAGCCTAATTTAATTAACTTTTAAATTCTAGTCTTGGTCATCCCGAACTGTAGTCTCCAACCTCCCCCCCCACCACCACCAGGGATCAAACTCAGGACCTTGCACTTGCAAGGCAGAGGTAGCACCACTGAGCTAAATCCCCGGCCTTCAGCCTGAACTACATAGCAAGACGCTGTCTACAAAAAAAAAAAAAATTTTTTAAACTTAAAAAAGGCTGGAGATGTGGCTTAGTGCAAAGGCCCTAGGTTCAAGTACAGGGGGGAAAAAATGAAGATTTTAGTTTAAACATAAACTCCAATTTCCTCATGCTGAAAGCATAAACCTCTCCTGCCCCCAGCCCTCTGGGCCAAAGCTTGGCCAAATCTCCATATAAAAATGTAACGGCTGTTTGTTCTACTCTACCTATAGATTGTGATAAGGAAATAATGCCTAACCAGGCAGGCCTCTGCCCTTGACCCCTCCCCGATGTTTTTGCCATAAAATGTTCTGTTCAAGAAATGTAACTGTTTGTACTGCTACATATTTCTGCCCAATATATCAAAGTGTTCCGTTCCAACAGTTTAACTGTTTGTACGTGCTGGATGTTTCTACCTAAATTTCAAGAATGCTTTGTTAACGCCACCCCTCAGGTTGGAGCTTCTTTCCATATCTCTGCCCTAGAAGGCTCCTTTCAACTTCCTTTCTCCAACTATATATGAACTCACTCTCACTATAGCTTGGGGCCCAGAATTCTGAGTGCTTAAACTCCTCTGGGCCAGTCAGCTAATAAAGTTCGGTTTTTCTCAACTCTTTGAGCGACTTTGAGACTCTGCTGTCTTCAAATTGCTATAGCTGTAATAACACTGAGCTGTCTCATTTTCCCGCAATAATTAAGTGCTTCTGTGCCCTCCAAGAGAAGGTGCAGACTAGCTACCCTCCCAATTTGACCAAATTGTAAATAAACTCACTTTCCCATGTTTTATGGGGTTGTTTTGTTTTGTTTTTGCCATTTGAGACAGGGTCTCACTTTGTAGCTCAGGCTGGCCTTCAACTATGTAGCCAAGGCTGACCTTGAACTCAAGGCAGTCTTTCTGCCTCAGCCTCCTGAATGCTGGGCTTACAGCCTTGTGCCACCACACTTGGCTTGTTTTATGGGTTT